GAGGTGGCCGAGAGGGTTTAAAAAGCCCGAGCCCGCCAGGGGCTGAGGGGAAAGTACGCGTTGTGTGGCCGAATGGGTGCGCACGCTGTAAGCAGCAGGCAGCTTTTTTTTTTCTTTCTTTCTTTCTTTCTTTCTTTCTTTCTTTCTTTCTTTCTTTCTTTCTTTCTTTCTTTCTTTCTTTCTTTCTTTCTTTCTTTCTTTCTTTCTTTCTTTCTTTCTTTCTTTCTTTCTTTCTTTCTTTCTTTCTTTCTTTCTTTCTTTCTTTCTTTCTTTCTTTCTTTCTTTCTTTCTTTCTTTCTTTCTTTCTTTCTTTCTTTCTTTCTTTCTTTCTTTCTTTCTTTCTTTCTTTCTTTCTTTCTTTCTTTCTTTCTTTCTTTCTTTCTTTCTTTCTTTCTTTCTTTCTTTCTTTCTTTCTTTCTTTCTTTCTTTCTTTCTTTCTTTCTTTCTTTCTTTCTTTCTTTCTTTCTTTCTTTCTTTCTTTCTTTCTTTCTTTCTTTCTTTCTTTCTTTCTTTCTTTCTTTCTTTCTTTCTTTCTTTCTTTCTTTCTTTCTTTCTTTCTTTCTTTCTTTCTTTCTTTCTTTCTTTCTTTCTTTCTTTCTTTCTTTCTTTCTTTCTTTCTTCCCTTTTCTTTTTTCTTCCTCCTACCGCTACATGTTCTCAGATTTACATGAAAGCGCAAATAGGCACAAAGCAAAGTGCCTTCTCAGAGGCAGCAGTAGGAGTAGCTTGCATGTCTTTTGGCTTACTGAGCTGAGGAATCCGGTTAGAAGCTATGTGCTTAAAAATAAAACTATGTGAACCAAGAAGGGTAGGAACAGGCTTAGTACGCTTCTGACCCAAGTTCTGTGGTTAAGAATTAGCTTTGAGCAGTAAAACGTTTGTATGGGGATAAGTCATTCCGGTGGTTTTGTGCCTTGACCCACTCCCAGAGTGCTGGGCATTGCTGCAGCTTTGCAAAAAAGAAACGCCCTTTGAAAATGGAGGTTGTTAGTACAAGTACAGTGGAATAAGCAAACCAAGATTCTGAGCTTATTTGCAACAGCACAAACGTTATGCGTTGCGTGCTACCTTCAGTCCAAATATCTGCAACTTGCAATGATGTAATATCAGACCAGGATCCCCTCTGGCGATTCGGTGCTAAGTTTTGCAGCGCTAAACTTTCTACTGCAAGCCATTACTGCGGGATTCCTGGGGTTACCGCGTGCAGCTGTGCCTGCTCCCCCTTCCGTGAGCGTTGTGAGGTGGCGGGCGTGCTCCCGACCCTTCCTGAACTTTCTTTTCCCCAGTTTTCTCTCACTTTCTCGACGCGCCCTGGGCGGCGGTTGGGGGCGGGCGCTGCCGCTGCAAGAGCGCGCTGCGCCGGGGCCGGGGCCGGCCTTCGCGCTCCTCCGCGCCGGCCCAACCGCGGTAAGTAAGCCGCGGGCTTTGAGTGAGAACGTCCGTATGGCCTGCACGGGCCCGAGAGCCGAGAGAAACCCGCTTATTTTGTGCTTTCTGCTTCTGCTTTCTCAACGTGATGTTTTGACCCCTCGATAGCAGCAGCCAGAGGCTGGGGGGCAGATGCTCGGTGTTTCCAGAGGCAGTTTGCCAATCCCCACTGCCGCCTCAGGGCATTGGTCCGTGCGGTTCAGACCCCCCAAACCGTTAGTTTGGAAGGGATCCCTGGAAAGGCTGCAGGGGGCTTGGCAGCAGCCTGTGCAGTTGGTCTGTGAGCAGGCATGGTGCGTCTGCCCTGGCTCTGCAGTTGCTCTGTGTCAATATAAAACTACATGTATGCACAGTACACAAAGACTTTAGCACCGTTAGCCTGGCTCTGCCGATGGAAAACAGTGGAAAGAACCTAAACAAAGAGCCTGGTGTTATTTCAGTAGATGGATGCAAACTGTAAAATCAACAGGTTTCCCCTGTAAAAAAACATGCTTTTCAGGCCTAAGCAAACATCTGCTTTGGTGCAGTTTCAATCTGAGGAGTAAGTGGGGGTGAGGAAAAGAGAGAAAGAAAACACTGTTTTTTGGGTGCATTTGGTCTAGAAAGTTCTAGCTGCAGTCAACTCTCAGTTTCCCAAGGATCGGTTACTTAGGTTGCAGATTAAATCTGTGGGAGGTGCAAGCTGTTTCTGTGCATGCTAACCTAGACCTTGACACTCTGGGGAGCACAGAGAAGCATCAAATCTGGTTCAGGTCCAGCAAGTCTAGCAGGTCTTGTTAGCCGAGGCACACCAAAAACATGGAGATTCTTCATCTGTCTCCTGACCAACGAGTCCATACTGTACTGGGTTTGCAGTCTCAGGTCAGCGCTAACACACAAGTTCTCTGCACTCCAAAGTCATCGGTGCATCCCTGACCTCTCTTTTCCTAGATTTTCTCCTGTCATGCTCTATGCTGATTTAAAATAAATTTTTTTGCTGTATGCAAAAAAGTTTGAGTCTCCCCTGTCTTTTAAGCCTCTTTTAAAGTGTCCTTTAAGGTTTATTTATATTACCATAGCATTGGAAAAGACCCTGACTGTCATATGAGAGGCCTGTTTTCAGAAGACATATAGTAGAGTCATCTGATAGTTTTGAAAATGAAGGCAGTAACCGCCTGGGCAGTAAAATGTTCCCAAAACAACTATTTCCAGCAAGACTCTGGAACAGCCTCCCAGGAGGTCAAGCCTAGCTAATGTTGGTTTACAACTTGCTACATTTATGAATAGGTTTGTTTAAAGATTTGCCAGAGATCATAAGGTTTGGATGAAAAGCCATCAAAAGATAGGCGTAGTATAACACAGCTGAGCTTTAGCTTGTAGCCTGTTGGAAAATATGATTTAGGAGATCAAGGATAGCTTGTAATACTTGTGCTTGTTGCACTATAAAATATAATGATGCATAGTAAGGAGGAAACAATGTCAAATCTGTTTGATTTGCACGCTTTTTTGTTGCTTTTGGTTGCGTGACCCTTGAAGTGCACAGCAGAGCACAAGCTTTCTTCAGTGGAACCCTATGTCGTCAGTGCGTGTAACACCCGTGTTAGGCCGCTCAGGGTGTCAGCTGCTGCCCTCCACCCAAGTTCAGTCTACCCACTCTTCATTCATAGGGCTCTCAAAATCCCAGAGCCTGAGAAGCTTCCACTGCAGCTTCGCCGAGGTGTCCCAGTGTCCCTGCTGTCTTTTACTCCTGGCAGTATCTAACACAACAAGCCCCATGTTGTCCTTTTAGTTCAGGAGAAGAGTTGAAGTCAGTATTCCTCCTTACCCTTTACTGCATCACTCCAAACTGCAACAGGTTGGCATGACCCCCCTATCAAAAAGCATTAGACACGGGCCTCTCATGTTCCTTTTCAAATATAAACAGTGGTATTACACTTATCCCTCACTTTAAAACCCGGCAAAATTTGAAGAGAAATGATCTGAGCTGTTACATAGCGGGCATGCAAATGAGGCCCAAACCCTCCAACCCACAGAAAGCCAAGAGGCTCTGGATCGGCAGTTCTCAGTGATTTCAAAGCTGCTCTTCTGCTTGTTCACTAACAGATGTCAACACTTTTTGAAAAGTACAGGCCATAGGACTTGCATTTATATAAGTTCCCTTCTTTTTCATTTTCTAGTAAGATTTTTTTTCTCCTGTGCTTCTACACATAACTACTCTGTTTAGCATTATCTGTTAATTCCATTTATGTGATAGGTGCTGTCCTTTTTTAGATCACAGATACAGATTAAAAAGGTTAAACTTAGCACTTTCTTGTGTAGACAGTATATCACTGTCTTCACTGATCATAGCCTGTGAGCCTGTTTCAGTTCATAGGATGCTAGTTAAATGCTTTTGAACTAAGATTTTAATTACCTTTCCAAATCAAATGCAAAGTTATTTTATCCAAACAGATATCATCAGCTACTTTCATTTTATTCTTTCCTTTTGAGGTTTTATCTTTAAAAAGCAATTAAGATTGCTGGGCAGGTGTATATTTAGACGCTCAGGTTTTCTATTTCTTTGCATGGTAGCCAGTGAATATACCCTAATGGATGCATGCTGACATCACCAGAAAGGATGGGCAATTCCTGGTTCTTTCATTAAAACACAACAGTATTTTACTAAGCTTGGAAATTGTAGTCTTTTGTCCACTGCTGTAAAAGTGCCATAGGAAAGTACTGTCAATAATTACAAATGGGTGATTACCTGGTTGATTCTGATGCACTCGTAGTAAAAATGGTACTATATTTGTTTTTAATCAGTTCTCTAGCAACTCCAGCACAGGGATTGTTTAAAAAAAAAAAAAAAAAAAAGGGTGAATTGCTTTCTTGACCTAAAATGTCTTTGATAACCTGTCAATTTGTATAGTTAAAACTTTTTTCCCCACCTGGCTTTTATCAACAGCCACCTTTGGAAGGTATACATTATTGGAGGTTTATGTGATGTTGTTCTTGGTGAGTACAGCTTTTAAATGTTGTCTTAGACTCATTACTAATTCTACAACTTCACCTACTTTTCTCTGGCTCTTTGTTTCCCCTTGATGTATTATCTTTGTTTCTTTGATTTTGTTAAGTAACATAAGACAGCTTTCTTTATTGTTTTTTTTCCTAACTTATCTTTCCCATGCAAGCTTCTGTTAATTCCGTTTATTCTTTATTGCTTGGTTGCTCCCCACTTCTCCGTCTCCAATAGATGCTGTCTTTACCACAGTTTTGGGAAAGGCTGTTGCCCAAATTTAGGTATTGTATTCTCATTTGTGTTCAGTCTGTTGCACCTGAATTGTAGTACTTTTTCTCACCGTCTGTGTTCTGCATTGGTCGGTCATTAAGTTTCATGGCTTGCTGCTGTAGCCTACCCCGCTGGTGGCTTCATGGTGCTTATGCTTTCACAGGTGTTGAAGGAGGATGGAGAAGCATGTGAACACACCTGGGACCAGAAACACACCTGAGTCCAGAAAGTCATTGTTCCCATCTTCAGGAAAGCACAGGTTTGAGCACATTCTCAAGTAGTCCAGCCTCACCGGTTACTCTGAATGCCGTTTATAGGTGAGCACACCCTGGGCAAAGGCTGAGATGAGGTTCCAGACCCGCTGGCAGGGAAAAGTCTGAGCACAAAACTGTCCTAACATCAGCCCAGGCTACCATCTGTGTATTTAAGCCAGCTCTTGAGCCCACTTGCTCTTGCTGTATAGACATGGGTTTCCTTTATATGAATATGAAATAGAACTTTCAAGTACACTTTCAGTGTTTGCGTCTGTTGAATTAGCACTCACACTACGCAGCATACGAAGCGTATGTGACTCAGTTTTACGGTGAGTCTTCCCTTGCTAACAAGGCCATTGTCACACTGATGATCTTACTGAGAAGACAGAAATTAAGTCTTCAGGTGTCATCAAATTTCCTAAACACTTCAAATTACAAGTTATAGGGTTTCCTTTTTTTTTTTTTTTTTTGACTGTGTTGACATAAGCGCATCCTTCTTTCCTGTGTCTTCTTGCCTTCAGGTTATCTTTTAGGTTGTGCACTTGCAGATCACTGCTTCCCTACGGATGCTGGGGCCTGCCATGTGACACTGGCAGTCATTCTACAGTGCTTACAAGCACAGAAGTCTCCAAGTTTTATTGGTCACCCTCCTGTGTTTCCCTCCCAGTCTAATGAGAATCAATGATGTAGGCTGTCTGTGGAAGGAAGAATTTTTGAAGCAGCTAATATTGGTGTTTTTAGTTTCAATTTGAATAGAAAAGCAGGAAATAGTTGTCAGTGGATAGTTATTGAAAGATCAGGCTGGGTGAATGTGTGCTCCTACCCCTACTAATTTACAACACACAAAAAAGGCAACAAATTACTCATCCATGACTCCCTGCTTGCTCAGTAACTGTCTCTATCTGTGGCTCCCCCTCTCAAGTCATAAGCACTTTGTGGCAGAGCTGAACTGGAAATACCAATCTTTCTGGGATTTAGGACTGCAGTAAGCGGAGGAGGCTCCCACGTTTGAATTAATGAGTCTTCCTGTGAGAAGCAGATACACTGATGAAGCTGCAGATCCTTCCTATAAACAGGTATGTAAACTTCTAAGAGGGGTATGACTGAGCAGAGTTTTTTTAGTTGGTTAATCACCCCAAAGAAGAATATGAATTCAAACTGGGCTGCACCCAAATGCACCTATATAAACCATGCTATAGCTAATTCTTATAATATTTCAACTTCAAGTTGCTGAATCAGTTGAAAGCAATTGAGTACTTCAGCTCTATGTTTAAGCAAAAATGAGAGTAAATGGTTCATACAGTAATAAGGGCGAAATTGTAAGTACATAGAAATTGGGAATTGTAAGTATAGGGTGATAGTTACATCCTGCTAGGAGAGAGTTAAAATCCTTCTGCAGACAGCCACACCTTGTTCTGGCTAAATAAGTGCCTTTAAATATAGGGCTTATTTGAACGCAGGGAAGCAGTTCAAAATAAGTCAGCAAACAAGTGCTAAATTTCTGGGTGATACAGCTTTTTTCCTATGCTAGTCAGCAGCTTCCACTGAAAAATCATATTTAAAACAATTCTAGAGTCTTGGGAGACGTTCAGAGAAAAACAGGAGCTTCTGGTCATGTCCAGAGGACAAGCCAGGGGAAATTATGCTGTCATTCTTGGTGAGGTTGCAGTTTCTGAGCACCTTTGAGCTTGTGATGAATAAATCCATATCAAGGATGATGCTTCTCCAGGATGACTCCTTTTTACTGTGTTTGCACACTAAGGACTTGCTCTCAGGGTAGCGCATGAATGTGAAGACCAGAAGCTGTCTGTCCAGTGTTGGCATGTGACATGACTAGGACGAGGGCCAAGCCCACCCCAAAGCAGCTCTTTCTCTTGGCATAGGTGTTCTGCTCTGAGTCAGCCTTGGGAATCCTGAATGACAGGAACTGGGTGGGACTAAGTTAAAGTCTCCACCTCAAAATCATCCTGTTTGTCCAGTCTGTTACACAGCAGCCCCGGCTCAGCAGCAGGGATAATTTTGCTGAAGAAGAAAAACTTTCACACTGGAGGAGCCTAAATAGAGCATGTTTCACCTGTAGACCTCAAAGGGCTTGGGAATTGAGGTCAGTACCATTCTCCTCACTTTATAGATGGGGGAAACAAAGCTACAGAAAAGGGAAATGATTTCCCGGAGGTCATGCAGCAGTTCAGAGCAGGGAACTAGGGCATGAATTTCCTGCTCCCGGATCTGTTCTTCTAAGTCCTACATGATTTACCCAGAGAGTTATTCCAGGGGGTATTGGTTGTCTTCATCATTAATACTGTCCTTCCTCCTCCCTCATAATACCCTTTGCTTTCAATGTCTTAACACGTGGAAAAGTATGACTTTGGAAGCTCATCTTGGGAGCAACTGTATATATCCTATTAGGAACAAAAATGGAAATGTATGTTGGAGTTAGGCCATGTGTTGTGCTGATAAGTTGTTTTCCTTCAGCCACACGTGGGTTTTGTATTGCTTCCATCATTTCAGTTTTTAGCACCTTACATGTAAACCATCTCTACCAGGGAAGTTCCTAGTAGTCTCTAGCACTCCTCCCTCTCCAAATAAGTTGTTAATAGGACAGTATTCATCTGTATTTACTTGTTCTGCTTCATGATGAATAGCAGAATTCGTTACAACAGTCTCTTTCTCTGTCATCTTGATATACTCGTGACTTTTGTTTAAATGGTAAATAGTAGGATAACAAAACCAAACAAGCAAAAAAAAAAAATTCCAGTCACTGAAAAGTTTTGCCCATGGAGTTGCTTCCAGTAAATGATTCCTTTTTGGTTTGGAGTTCCTACTGGACATTAAAGAAATGACCCTGCAGTGTTGTCGATAGCAGTTCTTTATAGCTGAGCCATCCTGTAGTGAGTGTTGGTCTTCTCTCCACTAGATATGAGTGACCTGAAGATGAAACTCTCTGCCGTCTATGAGCTGTTAGTGGATGGTGTTGGGCCATGGGACTTCACTGGAGGTTTTGTTCCTTGTGAGCTGCTGCTTACTGGAAAGGATGCCTACCCTGTGCTTGTGAGCTCTCAGAAACAAGTTCTGATCGCTGTTTCACGGTATGGGAAGGGCCGGATGGTGGTTGTTTCGCATGAGGGAATCTTGAAGGACTGCAAGTTTTCCCGGTTCCTCAGAAATGCTGTGGACTGGCTCAAGCCCTCCCCTGGGGCCCTGGTTGGGGTCCATCATCGTTTGGATTCCCTCTCCCAGCTGCTCCTCAGTGCTGGCACCAAAGTACAGGCTGGGGCAGAGCTCAGCACCCCTCTAGGGGTGTACTGTATGGATGCCTATGACAGTACTCACGCAAAGACCCTGATTCACTTTGTAAAGGAAGGTGGGGGCCTGCTCATTGGAGGCCAGGCCTGGTACTGGGCTAGTCAACATGGCAAGGAGAAGGTGCTGTTTGAATTTCCTGGGAACCAGGTGACCAGTGTGGCTGGTGTGTACTTCACGGCAAACACTGTGGGAAAGGGGATCCTCAAAGTTGCGAAGAAGATACCAAAGATTCCCTTACTTGTCCCGTGAGTATCTGAATTGCTCTCTCTATTGAATGGGCTGATAAAGCTATACAGGTGAGATGTTTACAGGAGATTCTTGAGGTAAGAGATGAGGATAGTGAGGAATGCTGGTTCTTTAGTAGGCAAGGATGCAATTTTTATCTTGAAATTTAAGAGGTATCTTCTAGCTATTTGCCATCTTAAAGAATGATGTCTGACTGCTTCCAGGGGAGCTGGGTAAGGAAGGCCCAGGGAATTCGTTCAGGGACAAGAAGTGAAGGCAGTCATATGACCAAATGCATCTGTGTGCAACACGCAGCAGCCTGGGGAAATGAAGAGTAACTTCTCTCCTTGGCCCCCAGAACGGTACCTTCAGGGCAACTGTGACTTTCCCATGGTTCAAGACCTGATTTGAGATAGAACATCTGTCTAGCTTTCTGGGCTAGGCTCTGGCTGGTAGCTATTAAACCTGTTCAACCAGTTACTTGTAGAAATTTACTTTTGTAAGTGAAGCCCCAGGGCTGGTACAGAGCTGAGGAGGCTGGCTTAGTACCACACCCCTTCTCAGTACCTGTCACAAGACCATGGGCAGGAAACGTCTGTTCTCCAAGGTAGTTTGGGATTCCAGAGTGGCCCTTTGGGACCTAAAGCAGCAGGTATAAAATTCAGGGCTATTGTGACTTACATCACAGAGCAGAGAAGTCACCAGAATCCTGGGTGTTCTGCCATCTTCCTCTTGTCTCCCCTTCTCGCTTAGTACGCCAAACTGCCTAGCACAGCCTTTTCCAGAGTTACAAAAAGTGCAATGGGGTCTCGGAGGAGCATGCGTGCTGCATTGCTTCCTGTGTGTGGCAGTTTCATTGCACTGCATTGGAAGCTGCAACAATTACAATAAAATTCCCATATAAGTTTTTAATTTCATCACAGTCTTTTTACTTATATACATATAAGTACATTTCAAAAAATAATTGGATCCGATACTTCCTGGATGCTGAATTTATATCCCAATAAAGGCAGCAGAAAGCTCTGCTGTTGAACTCAGAAAAGTGCTTAGGACGCAGCCAACAAATGAAGTTAGTTAATTAAAATTTTCTGAATGATCCTTTTCCCCACCTTCAGTTCACAGGCAGATGAGGAAGAGAGTGAGGTGGAAAATTCACCAGAGAAAAATTACATAGCAATTAACAAGGCTTTCAGTGGTAACTGAGGGTGAATGACACCTTGTTTAGGGTGCTTCTGTGGTGTTTTTGCTTTGACTCAGAGCCACAGAGGCATTTAGATACCTAATTTCAGTGCAACACAACAGCTCAGTGCATCTGGGCCTTCCTGCTAGCCTTTGTTTGACCCACAGAGAATCAGACTGCGATCTGATGCAGGTGCTGTGCCATATGCCTGGACACCTGTACTGTGTGACAAAAGGATTGGAGTACAGTGATAATCAAAGGAGAGCTGCAGCTTTAATTCCTGTCCTATGGGTATGCAGAAGGGCTGAATCATTTATTCTCAGAGTTGGCTGCAATGGCCACGTAAAGATATACTTTCCAGTGTCAGAGCGAAAACTCTGTTTGGTAAAACTATATGGCCAAACCAGGAGAAAATATAAACAAAGCAAAATCAAGTAATTCAACATATCTTTTACCACCGTGACATATAGGAGTTATCTGGAAATAGCAGAGATAGGAAGAGGGCCACACAAAATAAAATCTCTTTATAGTGTGGAGGTCAACGAAGGGAATTTGAGGAGTATGTGTTAGGAGCCTAAGTCAACTTCAAGTCACTCATTATCTGTATGCCTGTCTGTCCATCAAGCCAAGCTGTCCTTTCATCAATTCTCAACAGTGGCGCAGGTCAGGAAATAGCACAGAGAAATCTTTTGGGCTTGGTTAGCGGGTGATTTCTAGGGCGGATTCAATGGATGAAGTTTCTCTGACGAGATTTGCCAGTCCCCACGTCATGGTTTAAACCTGCAAAAGATTGATTAAAATATATGAAAAGCCTTCTGATTTTTGAGCTTCTGTGATGTATCTAGAAGGGATATTCAAGCTGCTCTTCAAAGTCACAGGCCTAGAAACTTCCTTTTGACCTCTTCTTTCTCTCTCTCTTTTTTTTTTTTAAATGAATGCTGAGATTCTTAAAGAGTTTACTTGACCCCCAAAACTGAAGCTTTAAAGGAAAAATAAAGATATTTTTAAAATTCATAGAACTGGCAATGTGATGTACTAAGGTGAGGGAGGAAGAAGAGGCATGGATGGACTAGGCAGACTTTTGTGTAAAAGATTCTGGGACTGGGGCTAACTTAGATGTCTCTTGGTTTTGTAGACATCATGCCAACCTCAGCCTTGACGCTGAGTTTCTCCTGCGTGGTGTGTCAGAGCTGGATGTTGTGACAGGGGGCCTACCCTCCATCTTACTGGTGCATGGTATACTCTCCTTCCCACTCTGCCTGGACAGCTCACACCGCTGCCTCTTAGCTGCAGCACGCTATGGCAAAGGGCGTGTTGTGGTGGCAACTCATGAGAGTCAGCTGTCCTCCCCAAAGCTGGCTGGATTCCTGCTCAATGCTGTGCAGTGGCTGGATGCAGGGAGGAAGGGGCTGGTTGGTGTGGATGTCAACCTGAAGAGACTGTGTAACCTGTTCTCTCAAGGAGAGGTGAAGTTCCAGGTGTCACACCTGACAAGCGATATGAGTGTGTACTGCTGCCCTTCTTACAGCGACAGAGAGGTGGAGAAGATTCATGCTTTTGTGGCAGAGGGAGGTGGCCTGCTGACTGGAGGTCAGGCCTGGTACTGGGCTTCCCAGAACCACAGCAAAGCTGCTGTGGCAGAATATCCTGGCAACAAAATCCTCAACCACTTTGGGCTCAGCATCCTGGGTCTAAATGTCCAAGCAGCTAAGTACTCAGCTGTGGTGCCTGGGGAGCACTACCACTTCCGCAAGGCTCTCTCTCTTTTCCAGAGGCATGTAGACAAGGCTGAGGAGCTCAAAGCTCCCTTGAAGGACTGGCTGCAAAGACTGACGCAAGACTGCGCTGCCTTTCTGCGCATCCCAGCCGAAGACTGCCCTGCGTATGCCTCGCTCCACCGCATCCTGACTAAAGTGCTTCGCAGAAGTGGGATCCCACATGTCAGCAGGCACTGCCCTGTCCAGAGCAACTCCAAAGAGGCAGCCCTTCTCTGTATGGCAACTGAGCTGTCCTGTGCCATGATGGACTGTGCGGCCTTAGTGCAGAAACCTGCCAGTGGGGTCGGTGACCTACCTGTTACTGTGGAAATTGATGGCACAAACCCAGGTGAGGAGCATATCTCCCTCCCTCTTGAGAAATGCTGTTGTTGCCCAGCTCATGTGCGTGTGTCTGTGTGTATGTATGTCTGAACATAGGGACTTTTGTACAATTTTGCTTTGGGCTTGTGAAGAGGCTAATCTCTCTGTAGTGACAGACAGGTTCCTCTTGTGGCCAACCCAGACTGCAGTGCTCTGAAACACCCTGTGGAAGTTCTGCTCCCTCTCTGTTGGTGTACAGGGTGCTGAGGGAGATGAACCACCTCGCATAACTCAGGGGAGTTATGCAACATAATGCTTTTGGCAAGAAAACTGCCTTAATAAATTCTTGGCCCTGCACTGTGGATTACCATCCCCATAGTTGTGTTGATGAGGCCTCTATGGGGCTGTGCTATGAGAAGATCTGAATTAGGCACAAAAGAGTTATTTTTGACTCAGATCATTTCAGTCCAAGTTATAGCACGGTCCCACAACTTGTATCAGCGCAACTGAAGGAGCAACCAGTTGTGATTTTGAGGGTGAGAACAAGTGTCTGGGAGTGAGGTGGGAATTTCTTAAGCTGGCATTGTCACTAGAGCCAAAGTACTTTGTACCTTGTACATCCTGAGTGAGAGGTGTAAACTTAGGTTTTCTACCTATACAACCCTGCTGAGACTCCTGGGGGGAAATAATGTGTTTAAACTCTAGGTAATTAGACTAGAAAGGTATTTTTCCCTGGACAGCTTCACCTTACATGTTTGTATTTGAATATGTTTGAGAGCAGTTGTTTGCACACTGTTGTAATGAGGATAAACTGTTCTGGAGTCATCTCCAGGATGCATGATGTTAGGCTGAAAAAGTGCTGACTGTTCAGGAAAGTCTTTAATTTTAGGCAGGACAGCCTGGAGGAGTACGGGACTCTATCTCCCTGAAGGACATACGGCAGTTATAACGTTCCCTAGCATGGTGGTTGGTGCTGGTCTGCAGGTGAGTTCTACTGAACTTGGCTACTGTACACGCATGTATTTGTCAGGTGGGCCCTCAAATACAGGTCTCAGAAGGCTTTTCTGCTTACTAATTTTGCTGCCATTTCAAACCTTGCCTACTGCTGCCACCCTGTGGCACTTTCAGTGCATTATCATCATTTTTTGTTTCCCACTCTTCACTAGTTGTTATTTCTGTGTGCTAGCTGGATAAATGAGCGTGGCTGCTGCCTGAAGGCAGCTGTGCTTGTTTTGTTACCCTGCAGATCGAAACAATCAAGGTGGTTGCCAGGCCCAAGATAAGTGCTTGGGCCCTTCTAATCACCAAACTTAGTGTTGTCTCTTTCCAGACCTCTCCTGAGGTACTTCCATAGTGCTGTTGCTGCTCATGTAGATGTATCCAGATCAGATACCTGGGCTCCTGCTATCTATAAAGTGCAAAGCACACAAGTGCTCACCTGCTTAGGCATTTTTTGCAGTGAGGTCCACGTAGCTGAAACCCAAGGTTAACTCAGGTACTTCTGTATGATCTTGCAGTCGCATGCTGTCTGTTTTACTGTATCAGTACCAGGGAAGAAGTGCAAGAAAGGAAGCCAGCAGGGATCACATCTCTTCACCTCATGTTTTTGGTATGTGACTTCGATGCTGGTGCAGAGTGAATAAAAGATCAATACAGTACTCTAGTGAAGGAAGTCACTGTAGTACTCTCAGCTGCCAGTGAAGGAGGTAGCTGACCCCTGTAATAATGGTAGTAGAGGTGTAAGACTGTGTCTGCGGCAGGGACAGCGCTGAACTTCTTTTTGTTTTTTGTTTTTTTTTTCCCTCTTGTTTTGCTGCTTCTGCTCACCTCAGGCTGAAAGCTTGAGTAGGGTTGGAGTCAGAAGGCTGCTCTTGTGTGTGCTGTACAGGGAGAGTCCAGCACCAGGGATCTCAGGGTGCTGTGGCCTGTCAGCTTGCACTTGGAGCATTTTGCTCAGCTCTTCCTACCTTTCTGTTTGACAGGTGCAGATTGGATGTCATACAGATGATCTCTCTCATGCCACAGAGCTGAAACGGGCCCCAGTGGTGATACGCACCTGTAATATTACCTGCCAGAAACAGTCTGTTTCCTGCCTCTGGGGTGGCCTTATTTACATCACAGTACCAGGAAAGAGCATCCTGGGGAAAGTGTCCATCATAGTAGAAGGAGCGGTCAGAGCTCCTTTCTTCAAGCTTGGTAGGTTTGTTTATTTGGTGCCTTTCTCCTTAGCACTGCTCACAGATGCTATTATTCTTGTGATTGAAAAGAACGATGGCCCAGTGCTTAGGGACACCAGGATGGGCTTAGGAATACCCAGGTTGAGCTTTCTTATTTTGTCTTCCTTTGACTTGCCTTGGAATTCTGGGTGAGTCACTTAACCACTCTGTGTCTGCTATGTGGTGGGCAGCAGGTGGGAGGGCTGTCATGAAATGGGCAAAGTTTGTCCAAAATGACATTTTTTAGAGGTTGGAGTTGTCATTTTCCATGAAAACCACTGTGTTGAACTGATACAGGCTGACCTCAGTCATGGTAAAGCTTGCCTTGCCATATGTCTGCTTTAGGGTGCCCCCGTATGGCTACCTCCAGTCCCTACAGTAAATGCTAATCTCTCCGCTGGTGAGTTCCCCATGTTTCCATCAGTTTCTCTTCTCTTATTGTATGGACTTCTTTTTGCTTCTCTGTCAAACTAAACAAAAATCAGTGTTGTTATCTCTGTTGGAGAACAGGAAATGAGATCATCAAGAGAGGCTGAAGAAGTCTGATGCTTCTTTTTCTCAGATGGAAAACAGGGATCTGTTCTTGCTGTGCTACTTGCTACTTTGGTGCAAGACAGTCCTTTTCTCTCTCTGTCTCCCATCCGCAAAAGAGCCCTGAGGAGACTTCTGAACCACATGTTTCTCTGGAGTGACCTCTGAGAGTGTGCTCAAAATTGATTTTCTGTGTTGATGTAGGGGAGACCTGTGAAAGCCAGTGGCAGGCCTGTATCCGGCATTACCCTGCTCCCTGGGCAGAATTAGCAGTTGAGAATCTTATCCTGACTGTACCAGCTGACAGCATTCGCCACATAGAGAACCCGAAGCCGCTGCTGAGCCTGTGGGATGAGATCATGGTGGCAATAAGCACGTTGGCAGCTGTACCATCAAAATTCCCAAGGCCAGAGAGGATTGTAACAGATGTCCAGATCTCATATGGTAGGTATATTGCCCTATGGCCTTCTCAAGGAGCCCAGAGAAAAGTGGCCTCTAGCAGCAGTGTCTGTTCCTTCGAGGTAGTTTTGTGAAAGTTGGACTGCAAACTTAGGTAAGGAGTGCAAGCCTTGCAGAACTGTGAGCTACTCCATCAGGATGGAAACATGGTAAGGCATGGCTTACAGAAAGCATATCGACTGTTTCAGTTGCCCCTTTGCTTTCAAAATTGGTACCGTCTCACTCAGCTTTTCTGCTGCCTGAGTGTTCTGAGAGGCAGATTTTGCTGACTGCAATGGCTTTGGCTCACATGCAGTTACTCATTCTCCCTCCTGGATGCACTGTAGAGTCAGTACAGCTGGGAGATCGTGACCTGGTTTCTATTTTTCCCTGCGTCAGTCACAAGAGTGTTTGCTTACCTTTAGTTGCAATTGTACCTGCTGGAGACGAGGCTGCACAAGGGTTACTGTGGGCAAAGCTTAGCCTGAAAAAACATGTGTCCGAGCTGATGGCAAAGCAAAAGCAGAACGTACATCGCTATCAAAGCCTGTGAGTTTGTAGTTTTGCACTGATGCTCCCCCACATCCCCACGCTAGCTTTTAAAGTTGTAAACTGAGTGCATTTGATTTAAAGTCAGTTAGATGGTAAATATGGAACCTTACAATGCTATTTTAATTCAGTTGTATTTCAAAGCTAGCTGGTTAAATTCATCATCCCACAGTGAGGGCAAGGGCTTGGCATGAACCCTGATGTCCTAACCCCTTGCTAGACCACTGGGAAAGAATTTACTGCACATCTTGGGAGTGTTAAATTCTGCTGTCCTGGGAAAAGGCCAGTTTAACTTACCATAGTCTGCAGACTCAAAATTCCCTTGTATTTTGGATGGTCTAAATTGTTTGACTCACATTTTTGGACTTGAACTTTTGGGGTTGCCAGGGGTTGCTATAGGGTTGCTCCCCTCCTATGAAAAAAAAGAGGAGTTCAAGATCTTAAATAATTTCTGCAAGAAGGGGTCTGTGATTCATGTCCTCTAAGTTGGGTGGTTTACAAGCTTTGTGTTCAGTCAAAGCCAGCTATGTAGGCTTTCTCTGTGGTGAGTGTAAAGGGCTCTTCAACCCATCCTATGATAGGTGTTTGAGTTTGGGGAGGTGACACTTGTATGAATTTTTGGGAATCTTCAGGAAGGACAAATCAAGAATGAAGCCACCCAGGAGACTTGGATAAAATCCCTTGCAGTGCCAAATTCTTGCTCAGCATGATGCTGGTAAATTGTTTAGATGACAGCTATTCTGTGAAGTTGAGTGTGACAAACACTGTGATCTCCCATGTGTTTCTTCCAGAGTGCTGTCTCTTGAAGTGCGGACCTGCAGTATCCACACTTTACACATAAAGAGTCTAGCTCTGCCAGAGTGTAGAATCACATTATTGCATGGTTGGATTGGCCTCAGTGTGCTCAGTTTGAGAGAGTACTGGGCAATGTTTGAGAGTGTTCTGGGCAACGTTCAGGCTTTCTCCTTCCATCTAAAACATCAGTGTCGGTCCAACTGTGAATGTATGCTTATGTATACACAGGCAAGTGGGCAAAACTGCACTTAACTGATGGTTCAGTGTTACCCTTACACCCCTTATTTGGCTATCTGTTAAGGTGAAGTTTGTAGTATTTCCTTACCTCAAAAAAGAAAAAAATCATCACTCCCGGTGATACAGTGTGGTTTGTGAAATGGAGCAAAGGCACTAGAGAAACGAAAAAATGTGGTCATTTATATATAAGAGGCACTGGGATAAGAACTTAGGCTGTGTGTTGGTACCTGTCTTTTCCTGCAGGCTGGATGCATGCTGGCTACCCCATCATGGGTCACCTAGATTCAGTGAAGGAGATAGTAGACGTGAAGCACATGCAAACCACTGGTCTTTGGGGTCCTGTCCACGAGCTGGGACATAATCAACAGCAGCAAGCATGGGAATTTCCCCCTCATACTACAGAGGCTACCTGTAACCTCTGGTCTGTCTATGTGCATGAGAAGGTGCTGGGGATTCCAAGGCATCAGGCCCATAAGGCGCTTAGGTCACAATGTCGGGAGGAAAGAATAAGAGGTTATCTGAAGAAAGGTGCTCAGCTAAAGGACTGGGAAATGTGGACTGCGCTGGAGACATACCTGCAGGTAACTCTGGGAGAAGTGGGTGCCTTCTCAGTGCCTAGTGAATGCAGCTGTCATGCAGCTGATGCTTACAAGCTGGATTCTTCTTAGGTCTGGAAAGCACCGGCGAGATACATGGATAAGTTGTGTAGCACTAATGTCTCCTGAGGCCCTTCCTCTGCAAGATTTGGTCTCAACCACCTGGAGAGAGAACCTAGTGCTAATCTTTCTTCCTGGGAGAAAAACAGGAATTGCTTCTTGATACAGAGTGGGAAAAGGAGGATCAAGCTTAGGTACAATTTGTTAATGTGCTGCAGATTTCCTGTGAACTTTGGGCTAGTTGGCAAAAAAACCTTTGGCATTGTAGAACAACTAGAAGAGCCCAGCCTCCAGTAGAATCCTGATAAGTTACAAGGCTAAGCTCCCCTATACAAAACAAAGGAGAGAACAGGTTGTTCCTACGAGCTGATGCGCTGTGTGGGGCCAGTGTAGGCTATCAAGTGGCAAGGGGATGGGTCCATCTTATCTTTCCCCTTCCAAATGTAGTTTGATGCCTCACTTCATTCAGGACTCCTGATCATGAACCCTGTCCTCGATTAAGGTGCACTCTCATGAGAAGCATGTGAGAGCTCTTCCCCTTCCTCTTTTCCCTTACTCCCTATAGCATCCAGTAGTCTAATAGACAGAGCATTCAACCTGATTTGAATTTGGGATTTCAAGGTGAGTGTCCATTATGAAGGCTTAGGCTGTTGACTGTTGTGAGGTGAATATCCCTCAGCCCCTTCTCTGGGAGCTCTTACATCTTTTAGAAAATACCGAAGTATTTGTTGGGAGAGTCTTGATTCTGATTTTTTTGCATCTCAGAGGAATGCCTGAATCATCAAGCTGCAGAATCAACCTCTGTTTTCTCTGGTCAATGAATATCAAAATAGTTGTACAAAATGGAACAATTTCAACAAGGGAGATTTACCTACCTCACCTTATAGGCTGGCAGTTTGGCCACTTCCTGAGGAGGTGGGAAACTTGGGGTCGGATCCGATTTCCAGGTCTTGCGGAGTGTGGGCTGGAATCTGCCATCTCCTATCTGGCTACTAACAGAACTGTTGGGACAAACAAACGAACAACCTTCTTCTTCCCCACTGTGCCCCTCAAAGTCATCATGAAATAGTTGGTATTATAGTGCAACAAACATAGTGGTTTGAGCACTGGACATCAGACTAGCAAAGGACACCACAGTTACCTTGAGAATCCACAAGACTCTCAAAGTGATCGGGGTCTCTCAAAGAGTCTTCAGGGTGTTACACTAGAGCTCTGGAGCCAGGATTTGAGTACTTTGGTACATATTCACTTGGGAAACCATGAAACTACCTCAGATCTTCCTGGGCTTCAGCTCTGAAGAAGAGCCACCTTCCCTCTTTCCATTGCTCCCCCCCCGTGCTGTGACACGGAGCTGGGAACTCCCCATTCTCTGGGGTGAGTACTTGAACTCAGGATCCTGGAGATGCTCTGCAGGTCAGACCTAACCTAACATGATGAGGAGCCTTCTGTATAACTTGGCTCACTGCTTTTGGCCTTGCGCAAGAGCAGACCCTTCCTTCTCCTACCTTCCAGTCAGCCTCCTCATGACTCTCCAACCTTCATACCAAAAAATATTGCCTAGTCCATAGCTAGTCTCAGCACCAGGGGTTTCCATGTAAATAGGGGAGTATCAGAGGCAGATAAACCTGCTTGTTTGTTCTGCCTAATGTAGATATATTGTCTGCCACTGCTTAGCTGTTGCACCATGATGGAGGATCTGTACATTTTAGCATCAAACTAGTGTCGGTGTGATGCACTTTGGCTTGGTAAGGAACTGCTGATGCTCAGTAGACGTTCTACATCCTGTCATGCTATTGTTCCAATTCATCTCTCCATATTAACTTCATATTGAGCAAAAAACAGGTTTCTGCTCCCTCTTTCATCCCCTTTATTCTTATTCCTAGACAGAGCATATTCTGCTCACAGTCTCTCCTTTCTGCATTCTGACTCCTCCTCATTATCTTGTCCTTCTTTTGTCCAGGTTCTCTTTCAGAGTCCTTACTGATAGTTTTTCACTGCACGAGAAGCTTTGTTCTGCATAAATCATCAGCTTGCATAGTTGGTGGCTGCTAAGTGCTGACATATCTGTCTGCTCCCAATGTACCTTTTCTCTCCATTTGTTCTGGCAGGCCAGTGTAGTGGGAATGTGTTTTTTCTGTATGCTAGTGCTATAAGTTATGCTCTGAAGCCTGAAAGGTGGATGACTTCATCTAACTTTACAGCCTTTCCAAAAGACACTGCAGAAACCTGTGGAAGTTTCTACCACTAATAACACAGGAATAATGTCTATGAAATGGTAAGCTGATTGTTTTTACACTCTATGTTCTTGTCCCTCAGTTGCAGGAGGGCTTTGGTTGGGAGCCCTTCACCAACCTCTTCTCTGACTACCAGAAAATGTCCACCATCCCAAAGGACAACCCTTCTAAGATGAACTTGTGGGCACAGAAATTTTCTCAGCAGGTGAGCAGGAACCTGGCTCCATTTTTTATGGCCTGGGGATGGCCTATCAAGAAAGAGCTGTCCATGGAACTGTCCTCTTTACCCAGCTGGGAACAGGATCCAATGAAGTCCTATAGACCATAAAAGAAACACATCTGGACCTTGATTCTAAGAACTAGCTACAACCTGTCATTTTCTCCTTGTATGCTGCATGATATGCTCACTGTGCATTTAGGTTTGCACTGAGTTCTTTCGCTTTCTGCTGCCTTAGAATGGAAGCCAACCCTGGCAGAAACCTGTGTGCCGCTCAGCTCCCATCTAAGCCATCTGGCAGATTTAGTTCCTGCAGAACCTTTCTCTGCTGAAATTGAGGTTTTCGGGGTCCGTCAGTCACTGCAGCAGTCTCAAGGATAATGCAAATAGAATAGGTATCTGTAAAACAAATAGTAGCCTTCACAATGTTGTAGTCTTTAGTTATCATCTCAGCAACATAAAAGGTCTTCGCTACTGATCTGATTACCTGTAAGATCCCTAATCTTTGATCTAAGTATGCAGAACTTCCACACCTACTATGATGAAATTAAGTGACCTCATAGTGTTTATGTATAGAGGCTGCTTAGCCGATACTGATATGCTGTTAATTGCTTCCTACTTTATATTACTGTGTGACCCAAGGTCCAGCTTTATCTGAAACAAGTCAGTGATGAGTTGTAGCTGTCACACTCACCTTAGTCTGTGAGCAAGATACTGTGAGAAAGCCATGCAGGATGGGAGAGCAGAAACAAAGAGCAAGAGGTGAGTTGATTGTAGTCAGTAATGGTTTAACACATGGACTCATTAAAGTTTTATTAAAAAAGGCACTGTGACATGACAGCATGAGGTAGCAGAGAGGAGGAACACAGAAGATCAGCAAGATGGAGGACCAGCCAGTTCGAAGGAGCAATGGAAGTTAACACTTCCCCTACCTTATTGAGAATTGCTTGGCTAGTAGAACACACTGGTGACCACACCACGGCTAGTGAGCATATTAATGCTTAGCCTAATAGCATGCTAGACCCAACTCATACCTTGTGTATCAGCAATAAATGAGAAAATTGTAGTGAAATCACGGGTTGTGTGTATGGTATCACTTTCAAGCCTCTATGCCCAGCAAAAAAAAATGCCTAAAAAGAAGTGACGTAAAGATTTGTTACAGCTGCTTTTTATTTTTGTTCTGATTCAGATGCAGTTCTGATTTTTCTGTGATTCACTGGCTTATTTTTTCCTTTGTCTTTCAAGCATTCTTTCCATTCTTATTCTCTACTGATACAAGTTATTCTTCCAATAAAACATACGCAGAGGCAAGTCCTAGCTTAGACAGCGATTCAGGACCAGTTCAGCCCTGTTTTGGAGACTCAGAAGAAAATTTACCTGGTGCAAAGATTTGTATCTGATCCTACCTGCAGTAGTAGATTTCGTCCCTACTGACTTTATGAACAAAGGTTGAGAGTTCATGTACGTAAATAAATTGCTCAAAATATAAGTTCTGTTACCTGGGGGTGACATGATCTGTTTTTTTTCTTCATGAATAGCAATAAAATGGATCTTGAGATATTTAAGAGCTAAAAGCAAAAAGAGAAGAGGCCAAAGAGAAAGGTGATGGGTCAGATTCTGAGCCTGGATAGATTAGTTCAACCATAGGGATTCTAATTTGAGAAGTAACAGTTTGCACCAGCTCTAAATACAACCTGAAATATTTAGGCATACCTAGCAATCAAATTCAGAACTGCACTAGCTGAAATTAGCGTCACCCTTAGAATGATGCCTGTTCTTTAGCCAAAACAAAAATGCAATGGAGGATAAATTAGAGAAAAGATTGGCACATTGTGGGGCTGAATTCCATGAATGCTTATACACTAATTGTGGTGTGTGCTGCAGTAGCCCTTTGAAGCAGAAATGCCGGACTGAGATTGCAGCAGTAAGACAAGAACATGTTAGCACAAGGCCAGACTGCAAAATAAGACGTGGAATATTTCATCGTTTCTATGAAAATGTAGCTCAAGCAGCAGGCACAGAGCAATTCAGCATGAGGAACAATATCTGGGAAGAGCCTAGGACTTAGCTGAAAATGACCTGTGCAGGAGCTGAAATGGGAGGGGAAAAAAAAAAAGATTTGGGGGCCACATTAACCTTAGCAAAATTAACCTTAGCAAAAATAAAACCATGAACAGAAGACTTTCTTGCTCTAATAAGCTCCAAGAATGAATAGGTTCACTGGTGAGGTTTTCAAATTAAATACAGACTTAAGGGCTTCATTTTTACAGTCAGTTTGCTTTTAATGAAAGGTCCCTTGCTAGTGCTGAAAACTCTCTTCTGCTAAAAGGGAGCAGTAAACCCAACAAAGATTGGACAAAGACTCCTGATACTATCAGGTCAAGGGTAATTTCATCTATAGGTGAAGTGTAAGATTGGCCAAGACACTTGGAGAAACACATAGAGGTACGATACCTCTTCAAGAGCAAACAAGGAACATGAAATAAAATATCAATGACTGGCAATTTTATCATCTTCCTTTTTATAAGCTTTCTGGCTAGCAGCAAATAATTGCTGCATTGTAATTTCACTGTCAAGACACTAATGAGACTCTGTAACAAAGTACATTCCTTTAAGCCAATACAACTTTCATAGGGTTCAGTACAACATATTCTGACTGCCGATACAAAATGGGATTCCACCTCTACCGTACAGTCTTAAAGGTAACTGAAAGCCTTTGCCTCCCTGAGAGGCTAGAGTGTTGCCGTTAAAAATGAGCTGTGGAAACATAATAGCTTTTGATTAAACTTAATAATCCGAAGTTTGGAAAGAATTCGGTATTACTTAATCAAAAAATGATTTGGATTTTTCTTCTGCAACTCCAGTCATATTAGTGTAGTAAAACAGTTCCATGGCAATTTGAACACACAGGCAGAAGAATATAGAAAAGTTTAACTGGAATTATTTCTTCACTGTATGTTTCCTAATAGCTCTGTTGGGGTAATATATTGCATGACTGGTAGCTAACACAAAGGCCCCTCCTTCCTGTCATGTTTTCCCAGCTCAGCTTATGGCTTAACTCTAGGTTTATGCAGCACCCATGGATACAGACTCTTCCTGGGACTATAGAACAGCATACCTGGTGTGTATCATCTCATTTACTTGTCTCTGTTAAACATTTCAAATTCAAATTTTAAGATAAAAAGTACATCTCTCTCTTCTTTTTCAATACTCTTTAACATGAGCTATACCACATGTATTGCAAAGCAGCCTATGCCTCTCTGGTGAAAGATGTTAATTCATTTGAGTTCACAACAAACTATCATCCTCTGTGAGCAGTTGCACTTTGGGAATAAAGCCTAGCCGGTGCTGGTGAGTACCAATGGTCAAGCACCCATTGCAGTAACTTGTTGTGGGAAGGGCTGGATGGTGGTTGTTTCGCATGAGGGAATCTTGAAGGACTGCAGGTTTTCCCGGTTCCTCAGAAATGCTGTGGACTGGCTCAGGCCCTCCCCTGGGGCCCTGGTTGGGGTCCATCATCGTTTGGATTCCCTCTCCCAGCTGCTCCCTCAGTGCTGGCACCAAAGTACAGGCTGGGGCAGAGCTCAGCACCCCTCTAGGGGTGTACTGTATGGATGCCTATGACAGTACTCACGCAAAGACCCTGATTCACTTTGTAAAGGAAGGTGGGGGGCCTGCTCATTGGAGGCCAGGCCTGGTACTGGGCTAGTCAACATGGCAAGGAGAAGGTGCTGTTTGAATTTCCTGGGAACCAGGTGACCAGTGTGGCTGGTGTGTACTTCACAGGCATTAAGGGAGTAATTGGCACTTTCACAGTGTCCAAAGCAATGCTGAAGGTTCCTCTGATCACCCAGTGAGTATCTTAAATGTTCATTTGCACTGTCTTTAGATTGTATTTAATGAATACTCTGCTTTGGGTTTTCTGCTTTTGGCCTGCTGGAACAAGAAAAAAATCTCTGCTCCCTGCCCACCAAAAGAAATGACTATGGCTAGATATGGGTGTTCAAGGGAGTGAGAGTGCTTCTAGAGGTTACTGAGAAGCTACCAAGAAGCTTGGCTCATGTGCTCCGTGTTCAAAGTGACCCATGCTCCATGGTTCAAGTGATGCAACAGTTCAGTGTCCAGGAAGAAACTGTTGTCTGGGTTTGCTATGCAGCACTATGGCATTTATTTTCCACTCTGTCAATGCTACAGCTATGGAATGACTTCCTGAGGTATTTAAATCCTTCCTGATGCAAGACCTAGGATACAAAAGATGCTCTTAATCTTTCCTGATGATACCTGTGTCATTTCTATGGCTTTTGTACCAGGTTCCCTTACCTTTGTTATAGGAGAAGCTTGGGGTACGTATTCTGTGGAGCCATGATACTTGAATATTGTCCACGCTGGGTCCATGATCCGTCATATATTCTACACTAAATTAAAAGTGTACTGTGCCTGTAACGCCTGGAACTGGATAGAACTAGACTCAGTAGGGTAGGTTGTCCTTTCCTGCCCAGTGTTGCTATGAGAGTTAAGAAGCGTCTTATTGTTGTCACGAGTCCCTGCTAGTGATGATAATTCTTCAGAGAGCTTCTCAGCTGATGGACATCTTATGTTACACGTAGATATTTATTTTAGGGGATAGAGAGGTATAAGAGAGGTGGGAATTTGAAGCTCCATAGCTGAGCTTATAGTGCTTGGTATTGCATAAGGAAGAATACATTCCAGCTTCATCTCTGTCTGAGAGCCCTTTTGCCTTGGCAGGCTGACAAGAATAATAAGCCATGTTTTAAAAAAAAAAAAAAACCTCAGCTCTGGCAATGCTCAGGAAGCAGGTCTGCTGTAAAAATAAGCTATTGCCTCCCCGGTGACTTTTCAGGGGTGCTGCACTGCCAATACATTTGGAAACTGCTGATAGAGACTTGAATCATAGAATACTCTAGGTTAGAAGGGACCTCTGGAGGTTGTCTAGTCCAACTCCCTGCTCAAAGGAGAGCCAATTAGATCAGGTTGCTCAGGGCTTTGTCCAGTAAAGTACTCAATATCATGAAGGACAGAGTTTCCACAACCTCTCTTGATACCTGTTCCACTGCTTGACCACCGTCAGGGAGAGAAAAATTATCTTCATCTCTCGTGATGGACAAGCAGGCAGGCAATGGAGGTGAAAGTTTAGGCTGAAGCCTGCAGTGAAGTGATAAGCAAGAGAGCAGATGACGTGTACAACTTTGCAAACAACTACCACAGTTTTAACAGCTTAGTACCTGCTTTCCACTTGCTCCATGACTGAATGTCGCTGCCTTAAAGATGAGCTACTAGAACATGGTGTGTCAGTTCCCCTAGTCTTCTCAAGAGCAAAATGAACTGGATTAGTTTAGGCCGTCGGTGAGAAAGTTTTGAGGTACAAGTCTTATTTAGTACTGAAGCGGATTAGGAAGTGCTTGCTTGATGTTATGGTTGTTGTGCCCTAAGAACAGCAACAACTTCTTGCCACAGATAGAACCACTTGTTTTGGGTGGTAACAGCTTAGCCTGTTGCAGATGGATCTAACCTGAGTCACAAGCAAACAGCACTATTCTTGCCTATGTGTATGTGTGAGGATTTCCTCACAGTACACCTGGAATTTATTTTATATCATATGTACAGAAAGCTGGTGATTCCAGTGATTTTAGAATAGCTGTCACTTCAGTGACATCTGTTGGGTTAACTTTGAAGTCTTTTTTGAAAGAGTTAATATATTTGTCTTGACAACTTCTTGAAGCAAGGAGTGTTAGTAGAAATTAATGACTATATCACCCAGAACAGTGGAAAGGTAGGTACATGTTTCAGCTTTTATAAATCAGTCTGGATGACAAGGATTTCTTTTTGTTTTCCAGATATGGATTGGATGTGAAAAAAAATTTAGTTCTTTTGAAGGGAGTGACTGAATTCAAGGTAGAAGTTGGCAGTATCCCATCCCACCGACTCAGTTATAGTGCATTAGCATTTCCCATTTTCTAAATGACTCCCACCAGGCATTCCTTGCAGCTGCTCACTAGGGCAGGGGCTGCATTGTGATACTCACTTTTGAAAACTATTGCCAAGCATCAGCAATGAAAAAATTTATCCTCAATGCCATTTATTGGCTTGATGCAGGATAGGGAGGGCCAGTTGGCATTACTGGGGAGCTGCAGGACCTTTTAACTCTCCTAAGCCAGGAGAAGATGCCGTGTCAGCTAATAGATTTTAAGAAAAACCTAAATGTGTACTGCTGCATAGCCTACGGTGATGAGGAGGTGGAGAAGATCCATGAGTTTGTTTCAAGGGGCAGCTGTATGCTGTTTGGAGGACAGGCACGATCCTGGGCTGCAGAATGCCATTGCTGAGTTCCCTAGCAACAAAATCTTGCACAAATTTGAAGTTAGCATCTTAGGAGATAACATCCCAGCAGCAAGTCAGCCAGTCTTATGTTCTGATGAAGTTTCCTCACAATACCACTTTTGCAAGGCACTCTCCAAATTTCAACAAAAACCCAAGAGAAAGAAGCTCTCAAGCCACGATATTTCTCCTCGCTCAAGGAATCAACTATGCTCCTGAAGATCCCCATGCAGAGCTCCCTACCTATCTGGTCTATTTGGAGGGAGATGGCTGAACTTGTGCTTTCCCAGGGGATTCCTGATGTTTGTGCTGACAGCTCAATCAAAGGCAGCTGTGAGGAAATAGTTTAAATCAATATAGCCATAGAGCTCTACAAAAAACTTCCTTGACATAAAAAAACAAGTATCCGCTTCCAACTAAATCTTCCAGAAATATCCGCATCCCCAACTGTAACTGTTCAGATTGATGGAAGAAATGAAGGTAGCAGATATTTTTCTGTATCTTTCTTCAACAGGACCCAAACTGCGGGCTGGAATCACATTGACCAGAATAATCTATTTGATCTGCTCTTTGTTCTGTCCCTCCTCCCCTTTCTTCTGGGTTCCCATGTCCACTATGTAACCAGAAGTGCCTCTGTACTATGATGAATGCTGGCATACTGGTCATTTGATGAGTGCAGTTTTGGTCAGCTGATGGATGAAATTTTGTTTATGTAATAAGGGAGTAGTCCAGGCACAAGGTCCACAAATGCTTCTAAAAGAGGCCATTTAACTTGTTAGTTGATGTGAAGCACCACTGCTGCTCTTTGTCAAACTTTACATGAAGATTTCATGGTGTGGGGGTTGCATTTTGTCTTGCTTGCGGATAGCTTCTCTTAAAAGAAAAAACTCAGTCCAAACTGTTACAGAGTGTTTATAGGGCATTTAAAATGATAAGTTACTTTTGGAGATTGTTTTGTATTCTTTTCTGGAACAAGCATCACTTGTGTGGTTTTGGGATTTTTTTGTTTTGTTTCTAATTTTTTAGGAGGAAGGTAACCTCAACAGCAAATTTATCCAGCTGAACTAAGTGAGGTGAGGGTGGGACAGGCTTTTGTTAGTTTAGTTTGAGATTTCGTGGCATTCTCTTTATTCTGCCATAAATCAGTATAAATTCAAACATTTCCAAAAAAAAAGTTCAGTATTAGCTGATGATCAAATGTGGAAAGATTCATCTCCAAGATTCTGCCCTTGAATTCTTTCATGCTACTTTCATCTGAGTCGTTTTGGTGTCTGTACCTATGTGAGGAATAATGGTCCATACAGTTGCACACTGCTGCCTTTCCTTGCTAAAACAAGAATATCTTGTTGCCTGTGGTAGCTACAGAAATGTTTAGTTCGTAGTGGAACTACCCGAGTCTGTCAGAGCTGCCATGCCTTTAGATGGCAATCGTTTCTCCTCCAGGCTGTCACTCCAATGACCTCAGTCATGCTGAGGAGCTGCAGTGCCCACCTGCAGTAACGAATAAGTCTGAAGTTGAGACAACCACCATGGTAATCTCTCGTTTGTGGGGTGGCCTTATATACATCATAATGCCAAAGCAGAACACGCTAGGCCAAATATCAGTCACAATTAAAGAGGTGTGCAGGCTCCATTCTTCAGGCTTAGTAAGTGGTACCAATACCCTAACTATGGGTGGGTGAGCAAAAGAGTATTTCTATCTTGCTGGCTTGCCCACATTTTCCTGCATTTTTTGTGGTTGTGTATGAAGGAGACCACAGAAAAAGTAATGCCCCAGGAAAGCCTTTCCATAAACTCAGCGTGGAAAGTATTTTGATAGGACTTAGGACTTTCACTTAGAAATTAATCTCTTTCCATGTACCCAGCATGAGTGTGTCTGAGCAGTCTTTGACATGGGTTGATGCTAAAAAAAAAGTACATCATCAACCCTTTACAGCAACAGCAGACATGGGGTCATCAGAAATCATTGGCCCCCTAGCCAGAATCTCAGGATCTGCTCACTGATTCAGTAAAATCCAGTTACATCCAGATAAACTTCCTATTGTTTCTGAGGCTGTGCAGAGGGTTTTGGCTGTGGTGATTCTTCTCTCTCTTTACACTTAAAACTTCTTTTTAAATTGGCTTTTTCCTTTGAATGCTGAATTAGAGAAAACTGACATTTCTGTCTGGCAGTCAACCATCCATCAGTTCCCTGCCCCCTGGGCTGAGTTGGCCGCAGAGAACATCCTCCTAACAGTACCAGCTGGTGATGTGCACCAAATGGACAACCCAGACAGTCTGCTTGCCATCTGGGACAAGATGATGACTGCAATAGCCAGACTGGCAGCCATCCCAGCAACTTTTCCAAGGCCGGAGAGGATGGTGGCAGATGTCCAGCTATCTAATGGAAAGTACAGTAACTTCAAAATTTTGCCTCAGATCCACAATGCAGTAACATTATCATGAGCTCATGCAAATCCTTAAATCAGCAGATAAATCTCACTGAATTCAAAGAAACTGGCCATGAGAGTAAGAATCTTTTGTGAGTATTAAGAGCTTTCTACAGAAGAGTAACACAATCTGCTGTTAAATCTGAGGCTATCCCTGGCTGGCCACAAAATGGTATATATGCTATGTCATGTTAATCTTACTACTGTGGGAGTAAGTACGTGTTAATGGCAACAGAAAGAAGGGAGACAGAGCTAGCTGTTTTGGATAGGACTAGTGAGATCTTGAGCCTTAAATTAAGGCACATAACATAGACACAAGTAGACTAATGTGGCACAGGATCACTTACATCAGTAGGGAAAAAAATAGATATGTTGTAGGCAACATTTTGCTATCTGTCATTTAGGAAACATGCCACTTAAAGACAATTCACTAAGCCAGTAGATCCTAACAGGTTGGAACAGGCTGATATGTTATGGTAAGTAGGCTCCTCAAGCCACATTTGCCAAATCTTACCAGTATTTGCAGTTAATTTTGGTCATAGTTCAAATATTGTGTGGTCCAGATCCAGTGGTGGTAACTAGAGTCAGACACAGCCCAGTGATTGTTGGGCAGGTTCATAGTGATGAGGCAGGTCTGAGGTCAAGCCAAGAAGTCAGTCTATGGATCAGGGCCTGGACCAACAGGGATCATGGACAGGCACAGCTGTGACAGAGCTGGAGACAGGCACACCTGTAACATAGCTCAGGCAGGAGCTGAAGGCCCAGGCCTGAAGTTAAATGGAGCCTCTTGGCCCATGGGCAGAGGATGTGGGTGGAGGCCAAGGTAAGCCTGATTAGAGCCTTTTAGTGCACTCAGGGCCCTGACATTTGCAAGAAGCATTTTAATCGTCTGCCTTCAAAATCAAAAACTGCTTCTTCATCAAGAGCACTTTGGAAAGAAAGCTAAGTTTCTACTTTGTGTCTGCTATTTCTCACCTATTTTTTGCTATGTATTTCCTTCAGACCCCAAACTTTCATTGTGGAGTTTCTAGGGGGAGCTGGGGAGGATGCTGGGGTCATTTTCATCTACACAAACCGTACAGTCATTTGGCTACAGGAGGATACAAACAGTCCTATCTTTGTCTGAAAAAACAAACATATTTAACATACTCCTTAAAATCTCTCAGGAGTGTCTATCTGCCCTGTCAGATCCAAAAAGACGACTCTCATGTTAACAGGTTAGTTTTTTACAGCCAGAATTAGATTTCCAGACCTCCTCTGCACCCCTGCAGTTGGGAGTATGGTCATCTACAACCTCTGTACTTCTCTCAAGAGTCATTTGACCCTTTTTTGATCCTATGCTTTGGGCAGTACTGGGGAGTGGGGATGGAGCAGAATAACACGCAAGGTACATATGTAATCTTTTGCTTGTGGTTGAAACTTTGATGCTTCAGTACAGGGAGCTGAAGCACACCATGAACAGCATCTGCACATGACATGCAGCTCAAAGAATGAATTAACATAAAGAGAATTAATTGTATTTTTCTCATTGTGATTTTGCATCCCAGAACCTTTCCCAGAGATTGGCAAAACTGTTTGTGTTTTACCTTCCCTGCAGGTTGGATGCATGCTGGCTATCCAGTCATACATCATTTGGAGTCTGTGACAGAGATGGTAGATGCGCAGTCCATTGGAGTCAATGGCCTTTGGGGTGCCATTCATGAGCTGGGCTACAACCAGCAATGATCTGAATGGGAGTTTCCCCCTCACACCACTGAGGTCATCTGCAATTTCTGGTCTGTTTATGTGAATGAGACTGTGTTGGGGATCCCAAGAGATAAGGCCCACAATGCACTTGCATTACAACTTAGAAAGAAGAGAATTCAAGATTATGTTAAAAGAGGAGCACAGTTGAAGTACTGGGAAGTATTTCCTGCACTGGAGACCTACCTGCAGATAATCAGCAGGAAAATTAAACTTTTGACAAGAATGCAAACAGATTTACAAGTTGATCATTTTAATGCAGAGCTGCTTCTTTCTTTTTCCTCACTTTCTGCAACAAGTTGACCCTCCACCTCATTTTCTCTCTCTCTCTGCTGAATATTAGTCTCCAGGCAATAACATATTGGTCTATGAGCTTATGGAATTCCACAAACCAATATGCGTCATTCCTGATCTATGTATAACAGACATGAGCAGGAGAGCCAGGGCTGCAGGCAAAAGTTTTTGAGGCAGTCTTCAGAAAAACTACTTTTTTTGAGTCCATTGTGATCTCAGCACAGTGTAAATGTCTTTCCTCCGTAGCATGTACTGTATGGAATGGTAAACCACATTTGGACAATCCCAAGGATGACTTCTGACCATTGATAATTGTTGTTGTTTCTTTTTTTATTTAAACCTGTCTTTCAGTTTTGCTACTGCAATACTTCATTCAGTAGTACCTATGATTAACTGAGGGTACAAAGCACAAAACTGAGGTGCGGAATCACCAAGCAGGGAGCCTGTACTTCGGTGCTAAGAGAAGAGAGTCCTATGTTTATAAGCATGCAGAGATGGATAGATATTTGTATCAAACTTATCTGTGACAACTGTAAAAAAAAAAAAAAAAAAAAGTAACTATCAAGCTTGTAAGTGCAGCAAGGTCCTTCAGTTTGAAAAGCCCCAATATAAGTATTTGGTTTTTTTTTAAATAGGAATATTAGAAATATAGGTTTGTTGAATAGTTTTACAGTGTTAAAAGGCTACTTTGATCTTTAAGTAGGTACTTAGACTTTGTCAGGTAGCTATGTTTATAAAAAAGGTAGAAAAATATCCTGGGAGAAGAACAGTAAGCGTGAAAGATTTTGCAAAGAATGTAGATATAGTGAGTCTAAACCTCTACACATATATTTTGAATTGTTTCTCTTTTCTTCTGATCCATAGCTGCAAGAGTTCTTTGGATGGGAAGCCTTTCAAGTGTTTTCTGAATCCCAAAATATGTCTGCACTCCCAGATGGTGACTCAAAAGTGAATCTGTGGGCAGAAACTTTTCCTCAGCTGGTGAAGATGAATTTGATTCCATTCTTTAAGGACTGGGGATGGTCAATAAAGGATAGCCAGCTGCCTTTGCCTGCAGCAACCTAACTTTTCCCAGTTGGTCAGATGATCTGATGAAGCAATATAAAAGGTCTGTGCTACTGCTTTTTCCAAATTAGAGTTGACCCTGCCTCACATCAGCCTCTCAGAGCCCATTGGCTGGCCTCAAGGGCCATCACAGCAACTTCTGCTCCTTTTCCATTGGAGGTTTTTTGTGTCTCAGCCTTATGACTTTAACATGACACTCTATTTCTTGTATTTCTCCCAGCATCCAAGACTCTGAAATCCTGTGATGGACAGAGACCTCTGTTCTTATTGATGAATGTTTTCCCCACAACCCTCTTAGCTGTGGAGCAAGGGTGAGAGACTATCAGCCCAAGAAGTCCATATGCAGCAGCAGTCCATGGAATCTCAGAGCTCTTTGTGTTTAGCACTATCAGAGAAGTTAAGCCAGCCTCATGATTTCTGTAACGTGTTCAGTACACCTTTGTCCCACTGAGGTCTGAATTGGAACTATTGCAACCTCAATACAGTTCTGTTATAAAATCATGACGTATAGCTTTTACACACCCTTCTGAGAATTTTCAAATTGTGGTTCCTTGAGCTCCAGTTTTCAAAGCACTTCCCATCAGCAGAAAACAAAGGGGTAGCCACCTCTGTCCTTTGCTCTGGCTTTGTGGTAGCCACCTCTGTCCTTTGCTCTGGCTTTGTGGCATATCACAGAGCCCATCATCCACACACAGAGCAGGTTAAAACATTGATCTCTGCATAGGTGTGGTCTATCTCCTGGGTCAGTGGAATTCATTACTGTAGAACATGAAATGGGGCCCCAGTGCAGAACACAGCTTCTCTTATTCCCTTTAAATTCTCTTTACACATTAGAAATACACTGCAGTATTCCTATGAATGTCGGGAGGGGGATTTTCAGTAACTCCAAGTAAGTATTTTATTGAGTAGGATCTTCCCCTTCCTCTGGCTTACTACTCATCTGCCCGGAGATTATATATGTGTTTTAATAATATGGTGATTGTTGCATGCAAATATCAATGAGGAGAACATCTGGCTTCACAAGCAAGAACCTATTTTGGCAAATGTTGTTAAATTAAATCTTTAGATCTGCTCTACCTCCTTTATAACTTTGTTTCTTTCTCTAGGAAATAAACCTTCGCCAATCTCTTTCAGAGAGCTTTTTCCACATGTAAGACTCCCGGTTATCTCAGAGTTATGGGACACAGAAATCTTTTTTTTAACCTTGGAAAAGGTGGGGAGGGCAGACAGAGAATTTCGTCTGAATGCAGCATGGTGATAAACATCCCAACGGCAATATTAGCTCTTCTTAAAATAATGCAACACAAATGCAATACTTTACGGCAATGGGAAACACAGCCTCTCCAAGTTCCTGTAGCTTTAGTCCTGGGCATAAAATCCCTTCTGACACAAAGACTACTTTCCAGAAACCTCCCACATACCTGGAGTCTGTCTAGGAGTTCCAAAATGGAACCGCACCAGTAGGTTAGCACTTCCGCTCTGTACCAACTTGGCACATGGGCATTAATAATGTAGTAACGTAATACCTGTTCTGGTATCCCACCATAACGGCCAAAGGCCTGGTTCATCTGTGCTCTGCACCATCACAGTGCTGTTCCCTCTGCATGGTGCCAGCAGAGTTCTGCCACCACTCATCCCCTATGCCTGGCAGAGATCTGGGGTATTTTTCTGCCTGTATGGCTGCACCCTGAGAATAATAAATGACAATGGCAATTCTGTGTTTCTCTTCCTATATATCAATTGCAGGAGAGCTAGAACTGCACAGGGGCACAGGCTGCCTTGTAGATGCAGTATATACTATATCCCTCTCCCTGCTTCCTGCCACAACTGTCTGAACCTCTGGCTTCACAGGCAGCGGTTGGCGCTCAGATAGAATAGGATTGCCGCTGCAGTACAGGGCACCGTTTTGGGTACCACCATGTTTTTGGCATAGGCAGAACCATCCTCCTGGGGCTACATGTCTGTTTTTATATAATATTTGAATGTTTGTACAGGAAAGGGAAACTTCTGGAGATTTTTATCTTTGCACCTTGGCTAGAAGCATAGATGCTTGTTCTCACATGGACAGAAGTCATCAATAACTCCATTGTTTGGAGCTACCCAGAGAAGAGGAGATAGTCTCCCATTAACAGTGTGATATCATTTATTACTTGGAAAGTTTTCATCCACTATTTCATTTGCTTTAATACCTCTTTTGTGAATTCAGTAGTTGTGGAGGGAAGGCCAGAAACCGGAGAATCCTTGGAGCAAAACCCAGAGTGTCCAAAACAGGAAGCCATAGACATATGCTTTTCAGAACAGTAAAACAGTCTCATAATTTTGGGAATCTGACTCATAATTTTTTGACTCGGGTGCAGCCACAGTATATGGCCTCCCCATCGGCCACTCTTCAGGCAGGGAGAGGGCACAAAGTTAATTTGTTCCATAGCACACTCACCTCAACCCGCGCCATACTTAAGATTTGCTTCCTTTCCCTTGCTGATGGAAACACCCAGGGTGAACACAGTTAGGCAGTAAAATGGGTCTTGAACAGCCAGCACAGAAAGAAGGGAAGATGAACTGTCCAAGGATTGTCCTGAGGAAACTGACCCATGCCAATTTGCAAGTAACTAGCTAGAATACACTGGGTTAGAAGAAGCTAACAAAACATGTTTTCTTCCCTTTTCTTTCTCCTTTCTTTTTCCTCTTCCATGTCTTCTCTTAGATGGATATCAAAGCTGCAAAGAGCACAAAACTTTGCTCCACTATCTTAGAAGGGAGGATTGTGTTTCTAAGATATCTGGTAGAAAAAGTCACTCACCATGAATGATGGAGATCATCTCTTCTTGCTATCTCTTTGTTGGTGGCCAGCTCACTCCCTCGTGTTGCCATTCAAAATGGCTGTTCTTAAAAATAGAGACAGAGTCAACTATAAGGTAGGACATAGGGACAAAGGAACATTACAGACTGCGTTTCAAATCAGAGAATGGAGAAATAACTGCGGGGGTGAGTCTGACCACACTGAGATACTACTGGTTTTGTGCAGGCGAGGATTTCTATGTGAACAGTTAGACCAACAATAGCCAGCTTGTTAATGTAACTCAAAATGTTAAATACATTGGGAGGATCTCATAACCCATCTTTTATTCCAGTCTTGGCAGAGGCTTAGTCACAAGATAGCAAATCCTTAGACATAGGAGAACTGGGAGGAAATGATCCTATATCATCCCCAGAGGGTATGGAAAAGATGCAGCTTCACTTTGATATCCCATGGAAATTACTAGTGTTTGCTCTGTATTTCTTCTCCATACAAATGATGAGGCAGGACCTGCTGTCCAATGGGCTGGCAATGTCTTCAAGCCAGCTGTTCCTGTGTGTTGTTTGATATAATGTCCCAGCAGTGAGAACAAGAAGAACTGCAGTGGGATGGACTCCCACCCAATCTATACAGGTGCTAAGAGAATAATGGCAGTGCACAGCAGCTCTGGTGGGATCCTGCACCTCCTGAGATCCTGCACCTTGCTCCTGAGATGAAACTCCCCTTGAGGGGGAACCCTCTTTCTGTTTGTTCAACCCTGGGCTGCCTCTGCTCATTGTCCCTGTCCACGCTCACCCCACAGAGATCCTTGTCTTTGCCAGCCTTGCCTCTGCTGAGGAATTAATTTTTTATCTTTTATCAGAATTTGCTTTTCTGATTGGCTACAAGTACCTGCCACAGCCAGCAAAGAAGTAAACTGCTGCATTGGTCTGAGTGTGGACAAGGCTAGATAGTCTAGAGCCACTGGTACACCACATTGCAGTGCATATGTCTCCTATGATGGAAGTTGTCACATCACTTCGTAGATGAGCAGGGCTGAAGATGATGTCAGGCATGTGTGCAGCTGATGCCCATGTGAAAGATACTGATGCATGTGTGAAAGAGATCACTCTCCTTACTCAAAATGAAGTCTTTCTGCTGTAACAGAGAAGACTTGTGGGAGACACTATCAGCTCCTCTCAGGGTGAGAAAAGGAAACCTTTCAGAGTGATTCAGAGGCTGAGTTGCTTCCCTTCCTTCACCAGCTACAGCGTTGCAATTTCATGCTCATAGTAATCCCCTTTTGATGCAAGGACATTTCCTCCACACAGAGGCTGGTACCTGAACGTACTTAATCATACAGACAGGGAGAAGTGAGTTGTTATGCATGTGGAAGGAACAATATACCAGAATGGAAACAGGAACTGAGAGTACTGCCTGCTTTTCCTTGAGAATCTGTCACATTTCTGACACTCTGGGAATTAATCTTTGAAGGATTTGTTGGAGCTCCTGGGTGTGGGGCTAGAGCAAGAGAGACCCTGATCCTCTCTGGAGGGAATCTGGTGGGAGAGGGTTCGGGGATGGCCTGGATCCTTGTTTTTACTATGCCAAAAGAAGAGACGCTGAGGTGGCCATATTCCCCGTATTGAAAACAAAAGCCAAATAGTATTCTTAAAGCAAAATTCAAACATTTAAGATGTGGCAGTGCAGGAGGGCCAACCTACATTGCAGAGGCTGCTTATGAGCTTACCCCAAACCGTTCTGGAGAAGGTGTGCTTGAACACAGATTTGCTAGAGAAGCAATGCAGGGCAAATGAGGTTGCCTACATAGCAGCCAATACTGTTAAATTTAGCAGCTTTTGTGTGAATGCTGCTGATTCAACAGCTTTGTCTGAACAGGAAATGACAGAGACATGACGACTCTGTGCCAACTACTGATCTGCCTGCTCCTCCTCTGCTGAACTACTTTATAATTAAAAATACTGTCCCTTCACACTGTTAGGGGTCAGCAGTGGGCTGTTTCCCCAGGGAATGCAGTGGTACTGTTCACTCTACTCATCCAGAGTAAGTTCAGCGCTGCTCTGTGGCATTCTCCCTTTCAAATAGCTGCCTTTCTGCTTTTTGCAGTCCAAGGAACCTCCATGGGTCTGCCTTGCAGACTGCCCACTGTTCTAGCTCTGAGCTCCTCACACAGCTCTGACAGTTCCCCCGCTCCTGGTCTGTA